ATTAATATATATATAAAATTTTATATTATTTTTTTTTTTTTTTTTTTTTTGGAGAAGTAGTTATACCCTGTGTGAGCAAAATCAGTAGGTTTTAGTCTAATGCGATAACATTAACAAGCATTTTCGGGAAAAATAATATCCTCTCTGGGTGGAACACAACATGAGGGTTAATGAAGTTTGTATATTAGCAGTATATAATTTAATGATGTATACAGCTATAAATTATAAACTAAATTCTGGCCAGTTGTTTTCTTTGGCCAGTTTTTATTATTAAACGTTCTTTTTTGGAACATTAGAATTATTATCCGTCTCATCTGACATCTCATCTGAGATCGGAATGTACAGAGAAAAGTGCTGAGCCCTTGTGTAGCAGATAGACTTCAGTAGAGTACAGCAGTGTATAGTTTCCCATTGGAAATCCATGCTTGGGTTTGGGAATACTGAAGCACACATGCCGTTCACAGCAACACCTGGCTCCCCGTTTCCCCACCGCGTGTATGACAAGTTGTGTGAGCTGTTACCCTTCTGCCGGTACCAGTCTAACTTCAGCAGACTGCGACGCACGCCGATCCAGAACCTCTCATTCTTATGGTCATTACTCAGAATGCTAGCCATCTCCGCATGAGCCGCTTCATTGCTGGGACTGAATAGCTCGTCACTTATGAGCTTACAGTACTGATGGGATTCAGGCCAGGTTTGAGGTGTGACGATGATGTCAAACTTAGAAGGAACCAATGCACAGCCTAAAGAGTCTAAATGCACACAAACACAACACTAATATTTGAGTGAGTACATAAGAAGTGTACACTCTCAACAATAAAGTTTCCAAAAAGGTTTTTTTTTTTTGGTAGTGATGCCACAGAAGAACCATATTTGGTTCCCCAAAGAACCTTTAAGTGAACAGTTACTAAAAGAACACTCTTAAAAATTCTGGTTCTTCATTGGCATATGTGGTTCCATGAAGAACCTTTGACATCCATGGAACATTTCCATTGCACAAGATTATTTATAGTGGAAAAAGTTTCATTATACTATAACATTTTCTTCACACTAAGGGGAGCCCAGAATGATTCTTATGGTATCACTGTGAAAACCAACTTTTGCAACATATATTCTTAAGAGTGAATAATTTTTTCTTAGTTACTTACAAAATGTTGGTTCTTTATGGATCTTTATTTTTAAGAGTGTAGTTGCTAAACTCAAGAAAAAAATCCAATTACACTAATGTGTTTTCATTAGCAGTGGTTTTGTAAGCTAACTTTGAAAACTTTTTGTACAATACTGCCATAAATTGGAATAATTTTTCTCAATTTACAGGTGCATCTCAAATTAGAATGTCGTGGAAAAGTTCATTTATTTCAGTAATTCAACTCTAATTGTGAAACTCGTGTATTAAATCAATTCAATGCACACAGACTGAAGTAGTTTAAGTCTTTGGTTCTTTTAATTGTTATGATTTTGGCTCACATTTAACAAAAACCCACCAATTCTCAACAATTTAGAATACTTCATAAGACCAATAAAAAAACATTTTTAGTGAATTGTTGGCCCAGAGCGCGTCAGTAAGCGCGGGCTTTGCTGCTCACGGTCACTGGACTCGCTGCTCGGGATGGAGAAGAAAGCAGATCGCTGAATAAAGGCTTGGATTTGGGTCTGTTCCTCGCAGTCGTATGGATTCGGAAGATTTGGATTACAGCGCACTAATAAAATTGTTTCATTTCGCAATTATGTTGCGTTTTTGGTGTATTTTATAGTTCTATTGTCAGTCACAGCATGTCGGAGAAAACGCCTTTTGTGGCCCATGACAATCAAAGTAAACATATGACAAGTAAAGGTTAAACGATTGCAGAAATGTTATTTATTTTAAGGTTTAAAGTGAAGTCGTGTTTAACATCATGTAGGCATATTCTTGGAAATATTTTCACAACAAAACAAAATGTTACAATTTCATAAGTAAACAATTTAATAATGCAATTGAAAACAAGGTAATTAATATGGCAACTAAAAACTAATAAAATTCATGCCGCGATTTCAATATTCATAAGGATTCATTTTTAGGTGTCGTCAATACGTCAGTTTTGTACGTTAAAATACTGAAAATACGTCAGTATTGTACGTTTTATAGAACCACATTTTACGTAAAATACATTCTAATTTGTTGAATTGGTGGGTTTTTGTTAAATGTGAGCCAAAATCATCACAATTAAAAGAACCAAAGACTTAAACTACTTCAGTCTGTGTGCATTGAATTGATTTAATACACGAGTTTCACAATTTGAGTTGAATTACTGAAATAAATGAACTTTTCCACGACATTCTAATTTATTGAGATGCACCTGTACATATCCAAATTCCAATATTAGCATATTTTAGCTTTAATTCCTGAGTAAACAAGTGAACACAATAAAACCACACTAGTACACGTTCAGGATAGTGTTAACTATGGCAGATTTTAACCAAAAGGTTTAACTTTGCTCTTATGCCAAGTGTAGATAAGGGCATGTTGTCACATATAATATTTTATGTATTTTATTAATTACAAGTGCTGTTAGCAAAAACAATGGGTTTTGTATGTTAAGTTCTACTTTTTGCTGTTGATGAACTGTTTTCGCTGAAAAATCTTTAATGGCTCTGTTAATGGGAGGTTTTGATTGTGAAAACGTGATTTGCCATTGAGTCAGCATTCAATGAACTATGAACTTTTTCATGTGCGATAACAGTGGAAATATAACAAGGTGTGTGTACAGAAAAAAAATCTAACTTTTTAGAAATAGTAATGTGATAACTAGCCCAATTCCCCCTATTAAAAAAATGAAAGATGTCATAATTTACTCACTCTCATTTCATTCCATGTTCTATATGACTTTCTTTCTTTGGACAATAACAAAAATCTATATTTAGAAGAACTGTTTTTGTCCTTACAATGAATGACAACAGGGGCCAAAACAACACTGGACCACAATGACTTTCATTATATGTACACAAGACACTAAAGCATTTTTCAAAATATTTTAAAGAAAGTCATAGAGGTTTGAAACAAAAAAGATTTCAAAAACACGTTTTCACAGCAAGGCCAACTATTTTGGGTTCCCTAAAAAACCTTCAAGTGAACAGATCTTTAAAAAAAAAACATTTTTCTTAATGTGAAGAATCTTTTGCCAAATGGAAAGATTCCATGGATGTTAAAGATTCTTAATGGAACCTTCAAAACCAATATAGAAACTAATGCAATGACAGATTTTCATTTTCTGAATGAACTCATGATTTCACACACTTGTTTTGATGTTAGAATAACACACTACATAATACAAAAAGAACAATTATTAGCGTACCTGACATCACCATCACCAGATACATTTCTTACCTGGATTTTCGCTTAAAGGAATAGCTGGGCCTCCATACACATGTGTGCTCTTCTCAAACACGTACACGGCTATCTTTGTGGATGGATGCCAGATGACGTGCGTGGCGTCAAGAGGCACTAACACCGATGAGTACACCGAATTGGCGATGGTGCTCCATGCAGAGGATAAAAGCAAATCACCATCTACATACACACTATCCCTGTAGTTTGTCTCTGATATGATTAAGGCCTTGGCATCTGTCGAGCTGACAGGCACTAGGTAGCACGCAGAGAACATATATTGTGAGATCAGTTCAACGATGATGCCTGGACCGACAAGCTGGAGGGAAGCAGGAAAAGATGTGTTGATGAACTGGGATTCAAACTGCAGAGATGGAAGGGATAGGAGTTTTGAGGAATAGGCATTCACAGTACTCAATTCTAGATCACCGCCACTGACGTTGGTTTTCACTGAGGACGTCACATGCAGCCAAAAGTTGCTGGTCTTGAGTATTGAGGGTACGACGAATCTGCTATCCTGCAGTCTGTCGGGATAAAGTTGGTTCAGCACCATGTTGCATCTGCATTCTTCCGTTTCTACACAAGGATGGGTCAGCATCACAGCCAATTTATTATCAGAATAAACTGCAATTTCTGTCCCGTCAGTTTGGAGCTGGAGAGCGGTGAAGGGATTGAGCGTGTAGGTCTTATTTTTAGCCAGTTTTACAATTGTGACATATATAATAAAATATTCTCCATTGATAATAACCAGCCTGAAAGAGCTGTATCTCTTGCTGACGTTTCTTGCTGACTGATAAAAAGTATTAAGCATCTGGCTGTAATTCAGTGAGGGGATGGTATACAACGTACCGTGATTTTTCTGAGGCTGAACAACATTAGTTTGCACACTGTCTCCTTTCTTGCTGATTGATTGCACCACGATGAGCCCCGTGCTGCTGACTCTGACAGTCTGAGAAGTAGAACCAAGGTGGTATTCCTCAGTACCCAGTGGCAGGGTCACATTTACGGGCTTTCCTGCTGGCAGTGTGTCTGAGTATGTCGATACCTCTGAGACCAAGACATTCACCTTGGTGTCGGGAAAGAGAGCAGTGATACTGAGAGTATTGACTGGAGTACGTGGATAGTAGAAGGCTATGTTTTCTGGGAATACTGTGATGAAGCTTGTTCCATAGCTGTCCCATGACTGACCTGTTAAATCATGGATATCGACATCATGTCAACAGAACATAGAGAGGACAAAAACAGCAACATATGAAGAATGGATCTATTTAGAAAGAACTAATGACGCATGTTTTACCTTGGCCAATCATTGCCGTGATCAGAAGAATAGTCAACATGATTTTCGTCCTGATTTTAGTCTGTGTTTTGAAAAAGAAAAGAAACAATCCATGAGACCCATGTGTCAGTCATATAAAATAATGTTTTATATTTTGCAATATACAATTTTCACTTGACACCATTTTACACCACACTGCATGTTTTATAGATTTGTAAATCATTTCAATTTGTGTGCTTCTTTTTATATCAGTATATATTTGCTGCAGTGAATTTTTTTTAGTGTACTTAGAAAAAGAAAAAAAATGAAGGCAACAGTTTGCATGTTTTATTGTTGTTGTTTTTTTGTTTTTTTACATTTCCTAAACTTAAACTATCAAGTTGCCGTGACTTTAAATCTGCCATCACAGTGACAATTAAATTTAGAATGTTATTCTAAATTGTGTCAACTTAAAAACTTTCCATGCAAATTGTTCTCTTTATTTACATGGTTTTAAATTATGCAATTAATCTAATGAAATGTACAAAGCGCATTGACAGGCCACAACAAATGAACAACACAAAAAAAAACATCATGCCAGCTCACACATATGAACTCACAAGAGTAACTTATCATTTTAAGACAAAAAACTTCACATCACAATTTAAATGTAAATGTAATGCTTACATTTTTGACATACAGCAGTTTCTTCAGTATTCGTGAATATTGTTAAGCACTGATATTAATTATTATAATTAAGCACTGTCAATAGTATCAACCTATAAACCTAAACATCATACTTTTAAATGCTTAATTAATATAAACTAGTTATTTTTTCTCCCAGGCAGGGTAAACAGCGTACAATCATAACTTCTTATACACTACTAGCTCTATTTCTGTTTTTATAATTATTTTCTAAAAAAATCTTAGTTTTAGTAATGCATCATGTACTTTAATACGGGTTATTTTATTAAAATCAATAAATCACTATAAAACAACATCATGTACACATTCAGCATGACATGTTGTCATCCTTCATTGGATTTATGACCGTTGTACACCTCTAAAATCTATCGGTGAGCTTCACATAAAGATATTCTTACCTCATAAGCGTATCACAGCCTTCTCACTGAACCAAATCACACCGTGTCGTGTTTCATTTATAGCATATTTGTCATTCAAAATGCACGCTCTTTTTACAACTTTGCATTAACTGCCTCAAACCTGCCTCAAAAAAAAAAAACAGCAAGAAGCAACCATTATAGCAAGAAGCAACCATTTTCAAAAGGTTTTGATAATAAAGAGCAGAGAACTGCAGCAGAGAAATCCGTTTAGTTTATAATTGTTCTTTTAACATTTAAACATCACAGTGTGAGTTTATCTGAACAAGTCAAGGGGCCCTACGATCTAAGCGCATGGTTTAAAGCGCACTGCGCAGGTGCACTCCGGGCGTGTCCGAATCCACTTTTGCTAGTAACTACGGGAAAACGCTCGGCGCGCCCGGTCTAAACGGGTTGTCCCTATGCTCTTAATGAGTAATGGGTGTTTTTTGGGCATAACGTGCAATAAACCAATCAGAGTCTCATCTCCCATCCCCTTTTTAAAAGCCAGTTGCGCTCGCGCCATAGCGGGTTCGCTATTTACATGGCGGAATGAAATTTTTAAAAAATGTTTGTGTGTTATAAGCAAAGTGTACGCGCGTTGTGCTCCCGCTTAGGCGCATATTACTAACGCGCTCTTAAATAACAAAGAAAAAATATATATTGTGCCAGACTTTAGACCAGGTTTGAATTGGTCTATGGCGCAGTCTATTTTCAGTTCCTCAAAATAGCAACGCGCCAACAATGCTCCTAAACACACCTCTTTTTTTTAGACCAGATTCACAAATGGGCGCAAATGCATTTGCTATTTAAACCACTCGGCGCAGGACGGGAAAATGAGAACTGCGTCGGGCTGAAACTAGCAAAAACACTTGCGCCGCATTGCGCCGGGTGTATGATAGGGCCCAAGGTCACAGTTCACTAATTTACTCACTTAACCAAATGTGTTAAAGTCATTTTATGTCTTGCAAGAAACTCGTGAAATCTGAACAGGCAAAAAATTTTTATAAAACAAAATAAATAAAAATAAGGGAAGCGTAATGCATCTTTTAAACAAATTAGTGGCTTTGTGGCTTCACATCTCTCTGTAAAACTAGGCTACTGCATGTCATAACCTTTTATACACACACACCCATGTGATTCATGGATATATTTATGTTAGCGGTACCCATTGACTGTCTTGTGACAGTCTTGCGCTTATATATATATATATATATGAGGCCATGGTTTCGCTTCCGTGTAAATATAATGCCTAATGTCACACCACAGCTAGTTTCGCTTTCCCGTCTGTTTGATCAAATAAGCTCTTCAACATATTCGATTCGGATACATACAGCTCGCAGACGCCTCACACACATTTCTTAACATTCGGTAAGATCTTTTTAATTACTTTAATAGTGTTTCTACTTAAACACATTCAACATTTGATAGCGGAGGAATTATGAATTTGTTTATGCTGTTGTTGTTTTGAATAAAGTTCCGTGCCTGCCAACGTGCTGCATATCATTATCGTGACAGTGACTTTATTGAGATTTTACTGTAATATCACGAAATAACATGTTTTTATATAATGCATATAATGATTTGATAAAATTTCATATAATACGTTGATATTACAAAATATTTTTATACATGATATAATTCACATAATAAACTGTGAAATAATGACAATATCTCAATAATCAATAAATATTATTTATTATGATTTTACAGAAAGTAGAAACCAAAATATTGCTGCGTGTTAGTGACGTAACAACTTTGTCAACATGGGAGTCCTAGGACTGAGGACCTTCATTGAGAGTAGCAACAGAAATGATTTAAGAAGCTGGGCTTTTAGAGACAATCGACTAATAATCGATGGATGTAACTTATACTACACCCTGTACTTTGACTGCAATTTGGATCAGATGCATGGAGGAGACTATGATGCCTTTGAAGAGGTGATCATACGGTTCTTTGAGAACCTCAGAGACTGTGACATTCACCCTTACGTTGTACTTGACGGCGGCGCTGACCACACTGACAAAAAATGGGACACTCTTAGAAAACGAAAACAGGAGAAAATAAGAGCGGCCTCTGCCTTGTCAGCAGGGAAAAGAGCCAAGGTCCTTCCTATTCTCATCAAAAATGTCTTCAGACAGCTGCTTCACAAGCTCAAGGTACCGCTGATTCAGTGTCTCGAAGAGGCTGATTGGGAAATCGCTGCTTTGGCGAAAGAATGGAATTGTCCAGTTTTGTCTAATGACAGTGACTTCTATGTATTCAACCTCACGGCGGGATTGCTGCCAATCACACATTTCCTATGGAAAAACATGAAAGTGAACAGACGCACAAACAAAAAATTCATCCAAGCCAAACACTTTACAGTGGGAAAATTCTGTGAATCCTTCAGAATGAACCCTGAGCTTCTCCCAATCCTTGCTACCATCTTGGGTAATGATTATGTGAAGCTGCAAAATATCAAAAGCCTGGATTGGGAGAAATACTCAGTGCCTGACACGGAGCATGCCCAGATTCACGGTTTGCTCAACTGGTTATCCCAGTTCCCAGGGCCAGATGCAGCTGTAAGTGCTTTGCTGAAACTAACACGCAACAATGAAAAACCCCTCGTCCAAGAAGCACTTTCCAAGGGAATCCAAGAGTACAAGCTCATCTCTGGCTATCTTGCCCAGTTCTTCCACTCAAAGACGATTCCACGGACAGCTTCTACAGGTCCATTGCAAGTTCTGCCTAAATGGACCTTGAGGCTCCTACTTGAGGGAAAGATAAGCTCCTCCATTATCGATGCACTGGTACATCAAAGGGTTTCCTTGACAATCCAGGTTGAAGATTTCCAACTCCCCTGTAGCAGTGAAACCTCTCGTCCCATACGCCAAGTGATTTACGGGTTACTGTTGTTGGGAGAACAACACACTGCAGATAAACTAGAGTTAGCCATTAAAACATTCACTGGCAGAAGCAAGCATTATGTAGAGGAATATGGCAGACAACAATCAAAACTAAGCAGTCAGAAAGTTGAAGCCATAAAGACCAGGGTGATGGAAGGACTTCAACTGGAAACATTATGGAAGGTAATAAAGATGCCTTAGCTCTCTTTTGAAGTGAAATGAAATTGTTTGTTTTACAGTATTTGTCATTCTAATGTTTCTAGGAACCACACAACGTGCGACTTCAGGTGCTCCTGGACACTTTGTGTGTGTCGTCAGAGATTTTAAGAGAGATCCAACCTGCTCTACAGCTGCAACTTTTCGTGACCCATTACTGGCTAGTAAACGCACAGCCTCCGCCGTCTCAAGTGCATCTTTGGGGGCTGCTGCTGGGAATGGTCTATGGACAGTTCAGCAGTACACCTCAAACACAAAGAGGTATTGAAGTTATCATACATCATTATTTTGTTGTTAGCAGAAGACTTTCCTTATAGCATGCAATAAATTAATAAAACAACCTCAGGCACATGCAGTGCATGCCACCATTGTCACGTAATTGTGAGCAAATGATTACCTAAATGGCAAAAATGTTGCTGAGGTACGTACAGTAACAAAGTGTAAATACATGTTATTTTTTGGTTTGGGGAATTAGACATGCTGTTGAAAATTAAGAAACTACAAACTGGTCGAAAAAGGATCTCTCTGGAGCATGAAACGGCTCATCTATACAGCCAGTGGCAGTCCTGCCTGATGTGGAGTCTCTGTCTCAATCGTTTACTGTGTTTTCCCGTATCTGAACCAGAGGTTGCACGGTACAACATCCATTTATTACTCATAAACCATCTTGAAAGCTTTCACTGACTATTTGATAATAATTAGCATTTTGATTTGCATCGTTAACAATACTGCTTCCTGGTTGTAACTTCCCAAATGTAATTTAAAATGCTTGAAAATATAATGTATGATTCTAGTTTTAGTTTAATATATATATATATATATATACACAGTATATACACACATTAATATTCAAATGACAAAAGACTTTTAAATTCACAAATAAAAGTTATTTTTA